GAGATGATAGAGGAAGAGCTGAGCCCGCCTCGCGCGCACTACATGCACGCGGACTTCCCCGAGGAGGACATCCGCGACTTGAAGGCCCTGCTGCGTTACGACAAGCTCAAGAAGGAGGGGGTCGCGGTGCTCAGCGCTGCGGACCTCCTGAAGCACCTGCCCAAGGTCGAGCCGCTGGCGGTGGGCACCGTCTTTAAGCGCTACGCTCCGCAGCAGCCGCAGTGGGAGGGCCACTACGTGCTAATGGGCGGGCTCTCCTGGGACAACCTGCCTGAGTTCCAGTGGTCCGACTTGTACTCGCAGGTGGCCTGGGGGATGAACGATCCAGAGTGGGCGGGCTACAGCAAGAACCAGCGGAAGAAGGCCAAGAGGCAGCGCCTGGCGACCGCGCACGCGGAACTGGCGGCCTATGAGCGCCGCCACAACCTCTGGGAGGGCAGCCTCACGGGCGGCGGGGGTGGCACCGGGGTCGCCCCGCGTGCCGCTCCCGTCCGCGCCGCCAGTGCCCCCCCCGCTGGCTCGGCCCGCGGCAGCCGGGACCCGCCACCGCCGCCTGCTGGAGCCCCGCCGGCGGCCGTCATGGCCCCGCCGCCGCCGCCGCTGACGGCGCCCCCTGCGGCGCCGCCGCCGCCGGCTGGCCCGCTCCCGCAGCGGATCCCCAATGTCGCCGCCCTGAACGTGGCCCTCGGTGAGGATCTCGAGCGCCAGATCTTTGGGCCCCCGGGGCAGGCTGGCGGCAGGGGTGACCTCGGGGGAGAGGTGCAGGCGCTGCCGTCGCAGGTCTTCGCAGCCGCTGCGCAAGGAACAGGCCAGTCCGCCTGAACGCTGAGACACCGCAGGGCCCCAGCATCGTTTACTTCTAAGCCCTCGGGGGGGCTACGTGAGTTCCTGCGTTAAGATCCCGAGCCTGCCACTCTCAATGATGCTGAGCCTGTATGTTCGCCCACGCTCCAGCTTTAGCAGCGCCGTCGTGCCAGCTTGCGCGGGCGCGCCCGCAGCGGCGCCCCCCTCGCGGCTCGGACCCTGTTGCTCAGTTCTTCGCTCTTCGCGCGGTCAACTGTGCGCCTAGCCATTTTGGCTTGCCATCCTGGCCTCTTCCCGCGCCTACTTGCGCTCGTTGGCCTCGCTGGCGGTACTGGGGTCGCCCCGTGTGCCGCTGTGCCGCCGCTGTGCGCCTAGCCATTTGGCTTGCCATCCTGGCCTCTTCTCGCGCCTACTCGCGCTCGTTGGCCTCGATGGCGGCACCGGGGTCGCCGCCGTGTGCTGCTGCGCCGCCGCTGTCGCTTTACTCTGGGCCGTAGGGGCCAGCTGCCCTCGGATAAGCGCCCGCTGCTGCGCGCGCGTCAGACCCGCCATCTCACCCAGAAGAGGTGCTCGCTACATACTGGAAATCAGGCAGCCACGAGGGCGCTCATCCCAAGGCGGTTGAGCCGTGGCGATGTGGTGCACGAGACCGTAGTAGTAGTAGTAGTAGTAGTAGTAGTAGTAGTAGTAGTAGTAGTAGTAGTAGTAGTAGTAGTAGTAGTAGTAGTAGTAGTAGTAGTAGTAGTAGTCGTAGTAGTGGTGGTAGTAGTAGTAGTAGTCGTCGTCGTAGTAGTAGTCGTCGTCGTCGTCGTCGTCGTCGTCGTCGTCGTCGTAGTAGTAGTAGTAGTAGTAGTAGTAATCGTAGTAGCAGTACACCAGCAGTAGCAGTGACAGTATCACCAGCAGTATCAGTCGCAGTAGCAGTAGCAGCAGCAGCTGCAGCAGCAGCAGCAGCATAATCAACATAAGCACAAGCAACTAAAGTAGTAGTCGTGGTCAAATGCGGCCGCCATCTGCCAAGGTGGCTCAGGGGCAGACGTGCGGAAGAATAGGCCGGCGGGGCGGGCGATCGCGAGCCTTCAGCCAGACCGCCGCGGCCAGCGGAGAGTGCACATTGGAGCCGCGCAGGGGTCTCATCACTGAGTTCGTCGATGCCGGTGCTCTGGTCGGCGCGGCCGCTTTGAGGCAGTCGGGGCGGGTCTTGTTGCCATACTGAATCGGCGCGCCTAGCCGTCAAACCAGGCGGCGCCGGCTTCATGTTTCGGTACTCCCCCCCATCCGTGGATCTCGCGCCAACTCGCCAGATCCACGGAGACCAGCAACGCTTCTTCTTTTTCTTCTTTTTCTTCTTCTTCTTCTTCTTCTTCTTCTTTTGCGTCTCCTCCTCCTCCACCACGGGGGAGATATGGCCGACCGGGCTCCACGCACCGTGCGCGCGCGGAGGAGCAGTGGCTCGCAGCGCTGCCGAAGGACCAGCTCACGAGCGAGGAGGCCGCCCTGAGAGAGGCGCCCGCCCGCCCCGCCCGCCGACTGCCCTGTCGGAAGTGCCGAGCGGAACGTATCCATGAGGCCGCGTATCCACGGGATCGCGCCCGAGGCAGAGCGAGGGCGTGTATATTGATATGTTCGCCGCTCGTGAGGATAGCGGAGGGTGGGTTACTGTACCCAGATTTCTGGCCAGTTGGTTCGTTGTAAGTCGATTTAGAGCTCTGGGGTCCGTCATCGGGCCCCAGAGCCATCAAACAAACCTGGACCTGGGACAAAAAGTACCCCCAGGGAAGGCGTCGGAACCTCCAGCACCGCGCATGGAACACAAGGACCTCCACGACCGCACATTGAGCAAAATCGCCCCCACCTCCCCTCACCAGAGGAAAGTGCAACGCGCCAGGGTGGAAGCGATATCGCCCGCAGAGGCCCGCGGACCGGGATCCTCCGGGTAGGCAGGAGGAGCAGGAGGAGGGTTCTGGCGGCGAGATCTTAGGAGATTCCCTCGCTGGGCGCTCAGAGCTGGGGATCACGCCTGAGATGGGGGGAAGGATCACAGCTACGCGAGCCCGCGTCCTCCGAATTCCTTGATATTGTGTGAGGCGGCAATGGATATTAGGGTTACTTGTAGGTTTCTGTGCTAGCGACGTCGAAGTGGTGGCGCCGCCGCGTGTAATTATTTCCATCATCTTTCGTGCTAGCGATACCGCCGAAGGAGGTACTGTTTGCTGTCTAGGCCCACAGCGTCGGATGTCTGGGCCGATGCTCTCGACGAGGCTCCAGGGCGAAAGCGTGCAGTGCCCGCCCCTACGGGTCGGTGGTGTGCTCAGGCGGAAGGCAGAGCGGGCGGACTTTCACAGAGTGCAGACGTTCTGAGAAGTTGTTGAGCTTTCCCCGAGGGCTCCTCAGGAGCCGCGCCGCCGATAGGGGGAGACTGGACATCATGGTCCGTGCTGCGATCTCTCGCGGATTCCATCCCCCTCGGGGCGGCCAAGAGGGGGGAGGGGGTGGGAGCAAGTTGTCCGTTGGCTCGTGGAGGATTTCTCGCCTCGGGTGCTTTCCAACAGCTGCGTCTCGTCGAGAGCTTTCCGGGGTGCCGGGATGGCACCTCCCGCACGGCCGCCGGAGGCCCAAGTCATGGCCCCGAAGACCACCCGGCATCGAAGAGGGGGGTGATGACTAGGGGTGTGCGTGTGCGTGTGTGCGTGTGTGCGTGCGTGCGTGCGTGTGCGTGTGTGTGTGCGTGTGTGTGCGTGTGTGTGTGTGTGTTTGTGTTTGTGTGTGTGTGTGTGTGTGTGTGTGTGTGTGTGTGTGTGTGTGTGTGTGTGTGTGTGTGTGTGTGTGTGTGCGTGCGTGCGTGCGTGCGTGCGTGCGTGCGTGCGTGCGTGCGTGCGTGCGTGCGTGCGTGCGTGCGTGCGTGCGTGCGTGCGTGCGTGCGTGCGTGCGTGTGTGTGTGTGTGTGTGTGGATCTCATGGCTGGGGCCATCTACCCAGATGGCATGGCCCCTTCCTCCTCTTTCAGCACGTTCCTGGGCCCCCCCTGGTTGAGGGATGAGGGGGAGGAGGGTGGTGTCAGACACGGCGCGAGCGCACCAATCTTGCCATCCTCCGAGTCAGACTGCACGGACACCAGATGTTGGAGGCCCGCGCTGATTTGTTGGATCGGCGCTGGACCCTTCTCCCTGGCGCGCGGAGCGCGCGAGCGCGCCAGGGGAACCCAGCGCCGACCCAAGAGAGCCCGAGGGCTGCCGAGCCGCCCGACTCTCCTGCGGCGGCGAGGCGCTGACAGCGGGCAGCACCGCGGCCAGGAAGTGTGGGGGGGGATCAGGGGTCAGGGGCAACTGTAGGGGTGGGGAGTTGCTCACGGGGGGAGTGAACGCATCGACCCCCAATCGCTTACCTCATCGATCTTTGAGATTTTCGGACGTCTTCGTCACTTCTCGGCGGCTTTCCAGCCTCGGAGTGCTCTCCGGCAGCTCCGCCTCGCCGAGGGCGTCCCGCGGGTGCCCGAAATTCCGGAGCGGTTGTCGGAGAGCCGAGTCAGGAAGAGGTAGGCTCAGGGGGGAACGCGTCGACCCCCCATGGCCAACACAGGGAACCGATCGCACACCCCGTCCAGGAACGTGCAGATGAGCTGTCCGGAGCCTATCGCTGATCTATCGGCGATGCATCGCCGATTCCAGGTCGTTGCCCTTCAGGGCGGGGAGGGGCCAGATCCGCAAGATATTGTTTTTGTTGCGAGCGATCTCCACCCGAGAACGCGAGCTGGGATACCCAGGGAGAGCCAGGCCCGTTGGGGCCTGGTACCCGCGGTATGCAGTCGTTATTCGTCGAAGACGCGAGGCGGGATACCCAGGGAGCACCAGGATCCTTCAGGCCTGGCGGCCGCGGTGCGAGGCGTGTCGGGAGCTCTAAGTCTAAAACCCCGACCTGTCGGGCGCGGAAAAAATTGCACAGCGGTGGGCGGGCTCCTGCTGAAAAGCGCACGGGAGACAGCACCATTACGCCAGCTCGTCGTCCACCCCGACCTTGTTCTCGACGAAGAAGAGCAGAAGTGTTCATGTTCAGAGGTCCGCGCGAATTTCATGGGTCGGCGCGGACGAAGTCCGCGGGGACCTCCAAAGTTCATGCTCGTGCTAGCTTTTCTGCATTCAGAGAGCGCCCCGCCGAGGCGATCCTCAACTGGCTCGGAGACTGGCCCAAGCGACGAGGCGCCCTCGGGAAGGGGGGAGGGCAGTGGGCAGACAGGGACTGCGGGGCAGCGCGGCGAGAGGAGGAGATGGAGGAAGGGGCAGGGAGGAGGAGCAGCAACACTAGCAGGAGCAGGGAGGACCCCTCCGCCCTCCTACCCCCCTCCTCCCCGCTCGCTCGCGCGGCGTGAGGAGGGGAGGCGGAGGACAAGGCGGGGACGGGGGAGCTGTGTGTGGCGCGGACGAAAGGATCCAGATCATATCTGCATCCAGCCATTCAAGGGCAAACCTATATGGGAGGATCTCGACTGTCCGAAGTGAGTGTCGCAGCGACCCGCTGATGCAAGAGTGCTCCAAAGTTCGTGTGGCCGCGGACGGTATCCGAGGAAGAAGGGGGTCGGCGCAGCAGACCCCCAAACACATCCACAAGGCCTCCATTCCCTCCCCCCTCCTCCTCTAGCCCGGGATCATCTGAGACGAGGTGCCCAAAAATCTATTGCGAAGGCCTTACGGCTGGTGCCGCTGACCCTGAAGGGGAACGACGACAACGGCGGCGGCGGCGGCGACGACGACGACGACGCTGACGTCTTCGAAGCGCTCTCGGGGGTCTCTGGGGGATAGTTTAGGGGCCTCTTGGGAGCCTCTTGGGGGCCTCTTGGAAGCCTCTTGGGGGCCTCTCGGGGCTTCCTGGGGACTTCCCGGGGGCCTCTTGGGGGCCTCTTGGGGCCTCTTGGGGGCATCGTAGGGGCCTCTTGGTTCCTCCTGGGAGTCTCTCGGGGCAGAGGGCTCGAAATGTCCGTTCTGGTCCCTCGTCTGGGTACCCTCTTCGAGCCGTCTTGGGGGCCTCTTGGGCCATCTTGGAGGCGTCTTGGGCCGTCTTGGGGCCCTCTTGGGCCGTTTGGGGTCCCTCCTGGAGCCCTCTTGGGCCGTCTTGGGGGGATCTGGGGGGCATCTTGGGCCGTCTTCTTGGAGCGTCGGGAATCGGAAGAGGCGAGAACGCCGAAAAGCTTCAAGAGTTAAGAGGAAATCAGAGATTCTCCTGGAGGCCTCTTGGGGCGTCTTGCAGTGCTCTTGGGCCGTCTGGAGACCGTCAAGGCGTCTTGGACAGATCGTTCGGCGATTCGGGGCCCTCTTGGAACCTTCTTGGGGCTTTTCTGAGCTTGGGGACCCCCGGGGGGGGAGTCGTATCTGACCCGGGACCCCCGCCCCCCGGGACCCCCCCCCCCCTTCCGGCGGGGAAGGGATCAAAGGGAAGAGGCTTCACTTGGAGTCAACGACGACGTTGCTCAATTTCGTTTTGGCTGGCGCGCTTGAGGAGGAGGGCCTAGGGAAGGGGGGAGCGGCGACGGGCCCAGCGCTTGAGGATGAAGGCGCAGGGAAAGGGGGGGGAGCGGCGACGGGCCCAGGGAAAAGGAGGGCGCAGGGAAAGGGGACGACAGATACGACGACTAACGAATGACGGAGACGCCGACTCCAACCAACAAGCCCCCCACACGCCGACGGTCGGCGGATTTGGGAACACCCTCCGAATCGAGGGGAAAATGAGGCTCATGAGCGACGAGACGGAGGGAAGAACATAGAAGGCAGGAGGTAGAGGAAAGGACAGACACTTGAAACTCCGCCCAAACAGTCTCCGAGAAGCCGCAACTAGCGCATCAGGGACCTCCGATCCTGGGTGGACGTTCCTACCCTCAGAATTGATGTTTCCAGGACCCTCTCGGGAAACATCTGAATCGACGTGCCCACGACTGCCTCCGGGAATACTGTTCGAATCGGTTGGAGGAGGGGGATCACAGGTGACGTAGAGGACGGGACGAGGGACGGCAGGACGTTGAAGGGAAGGGGAGGCACCCGAACCGACCCTCAAGCAGTCCCCGAGCGGCTGGCAACGAAGCCACAAGTAACCCAATAGGGCCCCAAGATCCCAGGCGGACGTTCCCATAGCCCCTGAAGAAACCCCGCCGCCGCCTTTCTGGCAAAACCCCACGGTGCCCCCAATCATTCCCCAGCCATCGCACTGGATTCCTATCGATTGCTTCCTGCCCGCCGACGCGGTATCGTAAACCCCGCGCACGGGGGGGTTCTTCTAGGTTTCTTTGTGCCTGCATATCTGCCCTCCATGCGTGAAACTCTTGCATACTTTGAAGACGAACGAGCGCGGCGCTAAGGCGACAGCCACATTCTGAAAAGGAGCGGCCCTCAAAAGGTGAAATGGTTGCAAATCCTTCACGCTTCGCGTATCCCCACCAGCGTATTGGCTTCGCTCGACTCGACGCCGCGCGGCTCTAGCGGTTGCGAACAAAAATATCCCCACCAGCTAAGCGATAAGTGGGCCCTACATGCCAACGACACAGGCCACGCAACGGGCCGCTCCCCTCTCCGGCACACGCTGGATGCACTAGTGGGATTTCTGAGGCAAGTCGACGCCGACTTGCTCGCCACAGGGACGCTCTGCGAAATGGCCAAGGACTGCCCTTTCGAAGAAACCCAGGACCTATGCAGACAGTTGGGCGCTGCCCCTACCAAGGAGCACAGTGCGAATGAATGGTGGCATCGATTCAGCAGTCGCTCCCCACCCGCCGAGTTCCGCACTTTCACAGGCCCCTCCTCGGATCCGCCTGACTGGGCTCCCTCAGCACGCTCCCACTCGCCGCTCACGCGGCGCGGGAACAGCCCGTCCCATTCAGCCAGGCCCAGCCCGCACTCCTCCACGGGAAGTCGCACGGCACGGCGCAGCCCAAGCGACAAAGGCCCCGCTGCCAAGGCACTGTCCCGGTGCACCTCTCCCCCACGCAGGGTCATCGCATCGGGGCCTTCACCCACCGACAACAGAACCGCACCGGCGGTCCACAGCGACGCCGCCTCTGATTCCTCCGCGGCCGAGACCTACGTGGCTGAGGCCGCCCCCGCCCCCCCGGCCTCCGCGGTAAGAAGGGAAGCCGTGTTTGCCCTGACCCCTTCCCTTAGCTCGGATCCACCCATCCCGCCCAGAGATGTCACCCGCAGCCCCGCAGTGGACTCCATCTTCTGAAACCCCACCTCACCAGCGGACGAACCAGGGGAAAGTCCCACACCACGCGTGACGGGTGGCGACTGTGCGGGCAGCGCCGCCGACTACAGGGCCTCCCCCTCCCCGGGCGCCTCCCCCACGGGGCAGCCCCAGGCCGACAGAGCCACGCGGGACGAGGGCAGCCGGGGCGAGCGGTGGGGCGAGTACCGTTCATGGCGGCAGTACGAGTCCAGCTGGTGCGAGCCCTACAGCAGCAGTTGGATTGGGTGGACTGGCTGGTCCAGCGGGGTTTCCGACAAGCGGTGGAATCGTACCCCGCACGGGCGGGCGGCCCCTTACGCAGACGCTCGGTTGGCCCCCTGGCCCCCCTACACAGACGCACGGTCGGCCCCCTCGCAGGACCTGAACGACCCACACACAGGCCAGTACATCTACGAGACCCCGCTGGAACAGGTTCAGTTCTCCCCCTTCCGCGACGAGGACCATGCCGACACTGTGAAACGCCTACGGAAGGAGCTTGGGGACTATTTCAGCGGGATTCGGCACCAGTGGACCCAGGTCCTGCGAGGAGTTCCTCTGGGCGTGGCATCAGCATAACTGCCGCCCAATGGAGATGGACGAGGCCTTGCAGCTCCAGGTCAACTGGCCGGCTGTCCGCGACAAGTTCGCCAGCCGTGCCACCCACACACCACCGTCTTCACAGGGCCCCATCTGCGACAGCGGGACCTTTCCTTCCCCGGCACGTTTCCGATTGCCCCGACGGGGGTGCTTGCCTTATCGCTCTGCCGTCGCCACCGTCACCCAGCGGGCGCCAGCCTATGTGTGCCACCTAACGACGAAGTCAGGCCCAGGCGTCTCACGACTCGCCTACCTCCTACCTGCGCCAACCCTGCGGGGGGCCCCCAGGTGGACCACCCTGGTTTCGCGCCGAATACCGCCTCGGACGCGCCCAGCTGGGGATGATGGTTCGCCCCTGGCAAGGGTCCTGGGCCCCCCCTTTTGTGGCCTCTCGCCCCCTGGCGTAGTGCCGCCCCCCTCGGCCCGCCCGTTAGCTTCGCTACTGCAGCGGCGTTCCACCCACACACATACATACATACATACATACATACATACATACATACATACATACATACATACATACATACATACATACATACATACATACATACATAAATCCATACATACATACATACATACATACATACATACATACATACATACATACATACATACATACATACATACATACATACATGCATACATACATACATACATACATACATACATACATACATACACACATACATACATACATACATACATACATACATACATACATACATACACACATACATACATACATACATACATACATACATACATACATACACACATACATACATACATACATACATACATACATACATACATACATACATACACATACATACATACATACATACATACATACATACATACATACATACATACATACATACATACATACATACATGTATACATACATATATACATACATACATACATACATACATACATATGCATGCACATACATACATACATACATACATACATACATACATACACATACATACATACATACATACATGCATGCATGCATGCATGCATACATACATACATACATACATACATACATACATACATACATACATACATACATACATACACACATACACACATACACACACACACACGCTGACTTCCCTGCCTGTCTTTGTTTTGCCCCCCCCCACACACACACACACTTCGCGACTATTAGTCGCGCCCGCCTCCCCTCCCCCCGCGCCCACGGCTTACGCCCACCGCGACTGTCAGTCGCTGTCTCCCCCCCCCCCAGCCGCGGCCGCGCAATGCGGCCGCCCCGGCCTCGTGCCTAATGCCGCCCCGCGTGCGCCCTCGGGGGTGCTGGCCCTCCCCTGGCCCCCAAGCTCGCTCTCCCTCGGGCCATTTGCGACGCTGCGCTCTTGGCGCG